TTACATTTTTGTTTAACTTTTCCTTTACAAATGGTTCAGGGAACTCGATCTGGCTTATTAACCAAACTTGAAACTACGTTAATCGAATCAATTGACGATAACGCGTTCGTCTCTAATTTCATTGCAGCGACTGATAAAATGCAGAAATCAGCTTCAATAAAAGCGAAATCGCCAGCAAGGATTTTCATCCTTGCTAAGCGTACTGATTCTCCGATTGATAGGAAGGTAAGACAGCAAAACCTAAGTTTCGAAACTACGTTGCAGTTTTTGATGGGCGCAAGACGAAACGTACAGTTTCAACGGGATTATCTTATACTAAACCGTCGAGTGCCATCGTGTCCTTAATTCACGTCGAAGATAATTCCCTAGCGCGAGTTTCAACTACAGGTCAGAGGGGCATAATTTATGTCACAGCCGTCTGGCATGTTCGAAATATTCTATGGCACTCTAACGTGCCATTAGTCACTGGACGGAAGGGACACGGATAGCCTTGAAATTTGCTTTATACGTCGCTTCCGACCAGCCCGAAAATCGCACGAAAGATACAAAATGTGTTACGGTAACGCGTTATCCGCCATCGGACCTTGTTAAGGATCGTTCCGCACGAATACCACGACTTCATGAATCGCGACAGCCTGCTCCGTCGTTCGGCTGATTTCATTCGGCCATTGATTGGCTCCGTTGAAGAGGTTCCTGCACGATCTAACGCTTTAACCGATTCATTTCACCGGGCTTCATCATTCAGATTGCACGGGAAACGTGAAAATGAATGTCTCTTTACCGATAGAATTTTTCGAGAATATCAAATTTGTCGCAATACAAGACAGATGAAATGAATTTACGTAATTTACAACTCTGTTACCGTCAATGCGAGTGCAATACAGTTTATAAGAATATGAATGCTATGACATTCTAAATATAATCTCAGATTTGTTCTGAATCCGTGAAAATTGTTTTTTTAGATGCCAGAAAGTAAAGTATTGGGAAGCGTAGTTTTTTAGAAATTATGCTGCATTTTGATCATTTATATTATTCCTTATCTAGTAATAAGTCTATATTAGTAGTATTCCTTATATAGTCGGATCTTTATGCAAAATAAAAAATATCTGCATCAATTGTAGGATATATGAGTCAAGAGCAACTTCTTTTTTCTTTCTTAAATCATTTTGATGAGTTGAAAATAATACATCGACATTCGT